AACTATACCTGTGTCTACACTTAATATTCCACGACAAGCAGATATTGATCCATGGCCATATTTGAAGGATGTAATACTCTATGACATTCATGCAAGTGTAGATCTGCTTATTGGAACTGACGCCCCTAAGGTTTTGGAGCCGTGGGAAGTTATAAATAGCCAAGATGAGGGCCCATACGCTGTCAGAACCAAGGTTGGCTGGGTCATTAATGGTCCTCTTCATGGTGGAAGCTGTAGAGGTAAGAGTGGCTATTCTGCCGTAACAGCAAATCGCATTTCTGTTGAACACCTGCAAGAAATGCTTGTCAAGCAGTATCACCATGACTTTAATGAGATATCATCAGAAGAGCAGATTGAAATGTCCAGAGAAGATATTAAGTTCATGGATATTGTCAGTAGCACAGCAAAGCTAATTGGAGGTCATTACTGCATTGATTTGCCATTCAGACAGGAAAATTTAACCCTGCCGGATAATCGTCATATAGCAGAACAGTGCTTATGTAGCCTGAAAAGAAAGTTTGACAGGAACAGTGTTTTTAAGGAGGAATATACCACGTTTCTAAACGAAATAATAACACAGGGACATGCTGAGCCAGTTCCTCTTGACCAGCTGACAAAGAACAATGGGAAAGTGTGGTATATCCCTCACCACGGGGTGTACCATCCTCAGAAGGGCAAGCTAAGAGTTGAGAGGAGTTGTGCGTCACTCTAAGCTCACAAGCAAAACTCAGTCTGATGGATTCAATAAGCTCGTGTGTAGAACCAGCAGAAAATTTACATCTGTGGTGTAAATATGGTGCATGAAGAGTTAAAATTACTCCTGCTCCTCCAGGCTGCATATCGAAGTGTCCTTGGGCAAAATACTGAACCCCCAGTTGCCCCTGGTGGCTGCTCCACCGGTGTGTAAACGTTAGTTTCTGTCTGAGCACTAAGGCTCAGTGTGTGAATGGTGAATGCGATGTAGTGTAAAAAGACTAGAAAGGTGCTATACAAGTACAGAGCATTTACATTATAAACTAAGGAAAGCGCTAAAAACTTTATATACAGCGATACTGTACAAATATAAAAGCTGACCAACTTGTATTTATAAAACTTGAACTGCTTGTGAACAAGTCTGTAGCTGAATGTATGCCAAACAAGTGACATTTTATGGTGGAGTAGTTATGAGATATGAGAATATTAAGAGATACACTAAGGAGAGTAGGAGAGTGCCTAAGCAAGCTCACAGGAAGCTTTGTGAACTCTAACCAGCTGAACAGCCTCACTCTCTGTTGTTGCCTTTTATTTATTTATTATTATGGATTACTGTTTACATGCATTTTTTACATATTGTTTTTGTACTGTGTTTTTTTTCTTGCTGCATCTGAAATACCAATTCAGTGAATTAAAGAAAAACACAGGGCCTTAGACAGGGAAGTTTTTTTTGTCTCCCTTTCACTTTAATGTTTAAATGATTGATATGATTGCTGCTGCTTTTCAGATGCCACGATGGAGCAGTGCTAGCCAGATTTTTGTCAGTACTGCTGTGCAATCCCATACAGATGTATGTGTAGAATCAGATTCTGCAAACAGTATCATTTCTGCCATGACTGACCAGTCAGCACTTTTCCAGAATGTTGATGTAAATTGGCCTGTGTAATATTGTGGACTGTTTTTTTTTTGTTTTTTTTCTTTTGTTTATTTATTGTATGTCTGTTTTTTATCTGTTGTGTACCAGGTGTGTCTCCTTAATAAAAGGTTTGATATATATTTTTTAAGCTAATGATATCCAAAGGAAATTACTTTTATTATGCAGAGGAGTTGATTACACTGAAAATTGTAAAACATTTGTTAAATAGGAATAGAAACACATTTCTGAAGTTCAATATCGGGACCAGCTGAAAGTAATTGCTAATAATGTGCATATACTAACAAACTCAGACAAATGTCTGGGCAGGACACTTTTGGTACTGTTGGGTACAAATAAATATTTTCATATTGCATTTGGAAACTTGACTTGTGTTGTTATTGTTTTGGTCCTTGTTGTATTCAGGGCACATTTAAGTCCTGGACATACTTGCCTTTAACTATGCGTTCGCATACGCAAGATGGCTGGATCCTTTGGCGCGTAGGTTGTGCACGTCTCCAGAAATTAAAGCTACGCGTCCGCAAGATGTAATTCAGCACATGACCATGAGGGCAGTATGTCGATCTGACTGGCAGGTCATATAACTTTGCAGCGTGTAGCCTCACGTTATGTAGGCTTGTGCAGCCTCCAACAAAACCATTAATTCATTTTACTCCAGTCACAGATGCTGATCACCCTGGATGACCTCTACAGTAGGTGTTTCCCACAGACCGATTTATTTGTGGCAGGCTGCCACATTATCAACGGGCTTTTTGTTAGGCTACTATTTAAAATGGGTAAAATCGTATTTGATCACAGAGCTCTGTGCAGCGCACAGCTTATATTCACTCAGCACTTCCTCTTGCCTCGTCTCTCGCCACAATTACGCTGTCATTCTGTGGGAAACACTGTTTACAGACAATAACTGGGATTCATGTTGATGAATGTGAGCAGTGTCAGAGATGTGCTTTTTGTAGTCCATCTTCAGAACATTGTAGTTTCATCACGGCAGTAGGCTAATATCTGCTGTCGCATAATTATGTTGCCTAGAAAAGAGCAGTCGGATTCTCTTAGACCCGCTGTCCTCTTTTCCTAAGTCCTTACGGATTCTCCTTCACATCTTCCCTTGACCTCATGACGTTTTCCATCGATGTCAAGGAAAGGAGATTATTTTGACTTTTCGGATGCAACCTTAAGGTGTGTTCACACTGAAAGCTAATCCATGGTTTTGGGCAGCTTGATTACAATTCAATGCAAAGACGCGAATACCTGTGAATTTGACCCGTGCGGCGCAAATGAGGCATATGTCGTGAATTTCACTGGTTCATGCGAGTTCAAATTTTTCAACTTTGCTGAGAAATTTGGGTTTCTGGTAGATTTGTGAAAGTGTCCAGACAGGGAGTGTTTCAGATCTCTGTGGGGATGAGATCCAGAGCACAGCAACCCAGCGCTGGTGTATTTACTGTCAGATCTGACAACGGTAAACTTGATTCCCATTTCTTTCACCATAGTCCATGGATTATGACTAAGACCCAGTTACACTTTAGTGTAAACCAACAAATGGTGTTTATTTCTTCTCTCCTCCCTCTCTCTCCTGAACTACGCTTAGATTCCAAGGGGACAACCTCTTCCAGCTCTTCCCAGTCCACCGGGCCACTGCTTGATGTCGTAACCAAGTCAGCACTGTAAGTTTCAGCTTGTGGCTCCAATGCCCTAGTCAGCCTCCTTTGCACAGTTTTTTGATTCGTAGCTATTTCTGTAGGTGTATTTACTGTAAGTTGTTCATGATTATTTATTTTAGTCAAGAAACCTGGTGGAAGTGATATCATCAAGGCGACGAAAGCTCTGACTCACTCCTTACAGCAACAGATGAGTAAGGGATGATCTCAGTATTTTGAAACCTGGGCCCCACTTTCACTTATTTTGGTGTTGAAATGACTCGTAGGTACAGAAAGTTTTAAATCAGTGCAGTGGGGCTGCAGCTAACGATGATTTGAGTATTCAAAGCTTTGATAGATTATTTCAACAATTTAGCGATGCGTCGTTTAACAAGTACTTTGCTTGGCGGCTGCGGTGTTGTGGCGTTCTGATCGGTGACAGGGAGTCACAAACACTGCAAGAGCCGATGGCTGTGTCACCCAACGCTGGTCTCCAAACCACGCTTTGTCAAGAAAACACGTGAAATGCGAAACGGGAAATGAGCGATCCTGCACAGGAAACAGCTGTTGTTTGTTATTATAAAGATGGCGATTATAAAGACAAAGAATCTGGTTGAAAGGATGGATCAGCACACGCAGGTAGCAGGGATTGTCTGAGCTACAGAGAGAGCTGGAGGTGAGTTAAAAGGTGCAGCTCCCGGACTCAACTCATGACTGTGAGGTTAAAACTCGCAGCCCAAAAAGGAGAACAACAAACGCACGTGTACATTTTCAGCTTACTTTGGCTTCCACTCAACAATCAATCATGACTTCAGTTAAATGCTAAAGTTGCTGTTTCTGTTACCTTGTCTCTGGCAGAACACCGGCTGCTTTCTGGTCAGGTACCGTCGTGCTGTTGCTGAGGCGACATAAATTTTGTTTGGGGGCGGACGGACATTACAGAGTTGTTTTTATTTTTTTCTTTAGCTTGAAATAATCCCATACTTTGGACACTTTCTTTTTTGTCCCTCGCTGTTTGCTCTCTCCTCCTCCACAGCTCCATCATAATCACGTCGTGTTCACAGCGTAAGTGTGATGTGCAACAGTAACAAATGTCCCTGGGAAACACTGTGCTGTATAGTTACATGGATTAAACGAAGCATCGATGCAAAGAATTTGTGTCGAAGCATTTAATGAATTGATTTTATCGATTTAATCGATGAATCGTTTCAGCCCTGCAGTGCAGTATAATAGTGAGTGCTTAGAGAGCTGTCGCACTGTGAAACAGAACTACAAAATAAACCTTGAGGTAAAATGTTTTTATTTTTAATAAATTGTATGGATTACACGGATGTATGGTGGTTGTTGTTGTTTTCCCCCCTGCACACATTAAAAGTTTTACTTGTTTTAAGTGTAAGCTGGACCTGCTAAAGTAGAAAATTGTAAAACACTAGATTTTTATTTCAACAAGGTGTTTGGCAAGAATAACAGTTACGGTGAGTAAATATTAGTGAATTTTAGCATTTGCAGGAGTCAATGAAAAGGTTTAACACTCAAGAGTGAATTAATAAGAGTAAATTATTAACAGTGAATGTTATATTTGTTTATATATGTTTATACTTTTTTTAGTGTAGAACTTGATTTGCATATCTTGGCCTGGTGTAGTGTTAAATGTTAACTCAGACTTACTGCTGACTTCACTGAGTAGCTAACTTTGTAGTATAATAGACACAGTTCACACAATGGCCTCGAGAGGGAGGCTGCTGGCTGACCAGCTTGAAAACAGGAAGTTTCAACTGTTACATCCAGAGCTTGAATAGAAAAAGTAGTTTCCAGTACTCCCTATTCACATGCTGGCGTGTGTATTATATCCCAGTACACAGAAGCAGACGGACATCACCTGCTCTGCGATGGATAAGTTTGTGTTCCTGTTGATCCTTCTCTCTCCAGCAGCTTCCGGTAAAGACTTAACTTTTATTGTCAATAGATTCATGGACGCAGGAAAGACAACTGCGTTACAAAAATTAAGGTCATCTTGTCCTATAAAACATTCATGTGTTTGTAATACGGTTGGGCGACATGTCGATTAATAACGTTATTCGTTAATGTGCGATTTAGCAAGTTTCTGGTCGTTAGGCCCTGAGAAAAAGCTAACTTCCTTAGCTACAATCACAGTGATCTGATCCGCTGTAACGTTAGAGGGAAATAAATCATCCAAACGCTCTAAGTTAACTAAATTATACTCTGTCGCGGGGTCCAGCTCTGAAACGTGTTTACCTTCGTGTTTAGGGTATTTTAAATGACTTCCGACTGACTTGTAGCTGCAACAGCTAGCTAATGCTAACTGTTGTTATTAATGCAGCCACTCAATCCGCTCGGCCTCGTCTAACACAGGCTGTTACGCACAACTCCGTTTTATTTTAAAAACATAGTTTTAAAATAAATACGATCTCCGTCCACTCCAGCGTTGAAGCTTCATCAGAGTTGATCTCCGTCTGTATTAAAACGACTGACGAAAAGACGTCGAGTTTCTCGTCCTGTGAATGTCTAACATGATCTCTAATAAATGTTCTTTGTGTTTGGAGTCTGTCAGTAAACACGTGTCACGTAGAAAAAAACGATTCAGCCTTTAAAACGATTAAAAGGAAAAAAGTATTTTAACACGGGATTCGAACTCGGATCAAAGTGGGACAATAAACCAAAGTCGGGCCACTAACGTTAGTCCAGCAGTCTCCTCAGTACTCACCTGTCACTGCTTTCTCTGCTAGCCATCACTGTTTAAAACGGGAGACCCCAGATCATTTTTTGCTTTGTTTTTTGTTCAACAAAAACAATATAGACATATTGACAAATAGTGCAGTGAGCAGAGTGCAAAGGATGCAGGAGTATGTACATGTCGGAGGTGGATGTGATATACAGGTACATATACATGCATACATGTACACGTAAACCCAGCCAAGACATTCAGGACATGTCAAAATCAGATTTGTCTTTGATAACGTCACCGTCACAGTATATAGGTCTTCAACATTTGACAAGGGTAACAAAAGCATACCACACACTGGGAGATGATAGATTTTCCTAATTTGGTGCTAACTGGTTAACCCGTCACTATCTTTTATTACAAACAGACCTAATTGAATAATTTTAGGGACAAAGCCTCGTGCTTAAATACTCTGTACAAAGGCCAAATGTCAGGGCAGCAATGACGAATTTATCTTACAGGTTATGGATGATTTTTTAAAGTTGTTTCTAATTTGTTAATGCTTGTCAACAATCAACCACTCATGTCTATCCTGGAAATCAGTCACAATTCCTGCCCTGGTTAACTAATTAATGAAGGTTTAATATTTATGTTACAGGCTCCAGGCGCAGGGCGTGTGGACAGATAATAAAACCTATAAAACAGGAGAAATTAACAACACTGGAAACTTGCTGCCGTTGGTCTTGACGGTCTTTCCAGCAAGATTACAGTCGCCAACTGACGGTGGGAAAGCGCTCTGCTGCCCCTTACTGTCATAGTGGAGTACATTTTTGTAATGCTAAAGCATTGGAGGACTTTGCTGACTCAACATCAAATTTATACAGTGTTACAAAACAAAAGATATTTGTTAAATTAAACCAAAAATAAATGTGACCAACATTTTGTGTGCGTCACATTTATCTTATGTGTTTGTCATAGTTACATGTTAAAGTAGACTAACTTACTAACATAAATAGGCCTACTACCCATCAACATCTAGTAAACAACTCAGCGGCTTGGTTGTGAAGCGAGCCAAACCTTCTTTATCTTCTCTCCGTTTTCTTCTCTCTTACCACTTTAGCTGCTGACGACTGGAGCATTTCTCTCGGTGCTCCGGTCGCAACCCTGACTATGTTTTAAATGGCTAGTGGCAAGATTCAGAGGGCTGCGATTCGATTATAAAACGATTATTGATGCATAATTGTTTTGGATAATTACTAAGCATTTAATTTGCACATTAAAATCCAAAAGAAAAATCTCCTAATTGGCTTAAAAGGACTAGTTTGCATCCCTAATTTACTTTATTAACCTCTGCTCCATGCTTGTGCCTGATGTTCTGCCGCTCGCTCTCTCTCACTCGCTCTGCCTCACACACAGGATACACGGAGAGCTGCCGAGCGTCACCATGCTGGCACAGTGTGCAAGTACACTTAATAGGGTGGTTATTCATTCCGCAGCAGTGGTGTGTTGAATACAGGGGAACACTGGTCTCTATTGCAGGGTGCTGCACTTCCGCGAGTTCCGCCTTTTGCGTTCCGTCTACATTACGTTATCATTTAATTATTGATGTTTTGACATTTGTTAATCGATTCATAATCTTCCACGTCCGCATCGCGATGCCTCTGAGAATAGATTTTCTCCCACTCCTAACGTCTCCACAGCTGTGACTAATTATTGAATGTTCCCATGATCTCAGGTGTGAAGAGGTCTTCTGTTTAAACAAAGATGTTCTCACTGTATCGTCCTGTGGAGTCCTTTTGAAATGTAGTTACTTTTTCTTTCTGGATGTTTTTATTGTTTTTAGATGTGAAACCTGGAGATGATGTCATTCTGCCATGTCAGGCTGGTGAAGTCTCCATCAGAGCTGTAGAGTGGACCAGACCTGACCTGGAGCCAGAGTACGTCCTCTTCTACAGAGATGGACACTCAGTTTCAGAACAGCAGCATCCATCCTTTAAGGACCGGGTGCAGCTGGTGGACAGAGAGCTGAAGGACGGAAACGTGTCTTTAATTCTGAAGAACGTGAGCAGCAACGACGCTGGAACATACGAGTGTCGAGTTGCAACAGGAGGTTCAAGACGTAAGAGAGCCAACATTAAGACTGAGCCAATCAGAATCTACCAGCTGAAGGTTTCAGGTGAGTTTGTGGAGGTCAGTGTGTCTGTGTGCCATGTTGTAGCTGCAGTTTATTCCATGTTGATTCTGAGAGTCAAACATGAGGAATATAGAAGATATAGAAGAGTAAATGGAGGCTGTTCCACTGTTCACTCATTTCCTGACTAATATGCACTTTGATCTTCAGGTTCCAACAGCGGAGACGTCGAGGAGGGAAACTACAGACATTACTACGGACTGGGAGCAGGTTTTGTTCTGGTTTGTTTAGCTGCTGCTGTTGGATTGGCTGTTGGCTGGAAATATAAAAGTCATAAGAACAAGAATCCAGAACAGCCTGCTGCTGATGAAGCAGGGAGCGATCAGCTCCTCTGATCTCTTTTCACCAAAGCCGAGTTTTATGTGTGCAAGTCCACCCAAAGATAGCAAAATTAGGCCCTGTTTACACAGACAGAGGGATTTTCAAAACTTTTCCTATGCGGTTTGGCCTTTCGTCTGGTTAAAAACTGGTTATAAAAATACCCGTGTACGTGTGGACTAAGCCTTAGATTGTATGTTTCGATGTCCCCACAAAGAATCTGTTTGTGTGTCAGTATCTTTTTATATAATCTTCGGTCAGTATTTCTTTGTATGTGTGTGTGGGATCCTGAACCATCTACCAATCAAAACAAACCTGTGTGTGAATGTGTCAGTATGCAACACAGTGAAGAGAACACAGTCCTTTTGATCTTTTTATAAGCTAATGAACATCACCAAGGTAACCAGCTCTGTCATACAGACAGATAGGAAAATAAACTTTCCGTCAAATAAACCTCAAAAAGCCTAAACTTTAGGTCTTATTGGCGAAATGACCTGTGGACCAATGGAGGAGTTGTGTGTCACAGTATCAGTCCGATGGATTCAATAAGCTCGTGTCTAGAACCAGCAGAAATTTACTGCATGAAGAGTTAAAATTGTTGTCAAGCCAGCAAGTTAAATACATTTTTAAGATGAGTTTTGAAAGAAACTTTAGCGATGATATCGCACACTCATCATTTGGGCATCTGTGGCTCAGGGGGTTGTCCGTTAATCAGAAGATGGACGGTTCAATCCCCGGGCAAGATACTCGACCCCGAATCGCCCCTTTTGGCTGCTTCACCAGTGTATGAGTGTGTGTGTGAATGGTGAATGCAGATGTAGTGTAAAAAAACGGTCAAAAAAGAGAAAGAAAGGCTCTATACAAATACAGAGCATTTACTTTATAAGATAAAAAAAGAGCTGGAAACTTTATATGCAGCAATGTTACACAAATATAAAAGCTGACTACAACTTTTTATAATATACTTGAACTTCTTGTGAACAAGAAGGTATGCCAAACTGACAGTTTTTGGTGATTTAAAGCTTTTGCTCTATTTACTTGCATGTGCCTCAGCACTGATGTATCACGGGGAATTTCATGAACTCTAACCAGCTAACAGATGTATGTTATTGTTGCCTTTTATTTGTTTATGAACGATTACTGTTTACATGCATTTTATTACTAATTATTTTTATACTGTGCTTCTTTGTACTGTCTCAAGATGGCTCAGACCTTTTCATTAAACATGAGGTAAAGAAGAGTAATATTTTGATTGTTAGAAGTAGGTCAGTAGTCAGTAGTCATTCCCTGACTCCTCTCTGTCTGTCCCTAAAGTACAGTATGTGATGAGGCAAAATTTTTGGGACATTATATCACTGATGTCTGTCTGATGATATGAATATGAATGAGTACTCTCTCTATGGAGGTGCAACAGAAAGTTTCTGCAACAGTATGCAAAACTCAACAAATCATATAATGATGGTTAGAGGCTGCTGCTTAAGGCGCCACGATGGAGCAGTGCAAGCCAAATGTTTGTCAGTGTTAGTGTGCCTACCAGGGCCCCGTATCAGAAAGTGGGATTAGTGAAAACTCTGAGTATGTTGAGCCTGAGATGAGGGGAAACTCTGGGTTTTCCGTTTCAGAGAGCAAGATCAGATGTTGGAGGATGACTGTGGTGCAGCTGAAACAAACAGGCCTGAGTTTTCCATTATTAGCTGCATAGTCTTAATGTGTTTTGACAGCATTAATAAAATACAAAATTAGCAAGATTTTATTAATGTAAAATAGACGTCAGTTTGTACCATAGACACATTTTCCACTGCTTAAAAAAAAGCTAATTAGCTAACCTAACCTGCTGGGTGTGACTGAATTCACAGGTTTATGAGTAAACTGTGTCTTATATTTTATCTATACCTATTTTCATAATCAGGTAGCCGATCGCCACCGGCATTTAGTCCCGTCAGGTTACAGCTTAATAAATATAGCGAATGTAATGGGCTGGAGGAGAATTCCAGCACTTGGGATGAGCTCAGAGTTTGTTTAACCTGCTTTCTGAAACGGAGCCCAGCTCTGCTGTATTGTGCAATCTCATGTGCAGATGTATTTGTAGGTTATCAGAGTCTGCAAATTTTCAGCACTGACCAACCCGGCACTGAATTGAGCCTGGTACTCTCACAGAATGTGGAATCATTGATGTTTTAGCCAATATGTAAAAAGGCCTATGTAATATTGTGGACTATGTATGTTGGTCTGTTTTTTTCTTTTGTTTATTTATTGTATGTCTGGTTTTTATTGTATGTTTTTTGGATCAGGAGTGTGTCCTTGCTAAAAGCTAATGATATCCAAAGGCTATGGCCTATGTGAGATTTATTTGATTTAAGCTGAAAGCTGAAAGTCGAACAAAAAAGACCAGACCTGTGGAATAAGACAAACACTTTTCTGAATGAAGTTCAATCTCAGCAACAGCTGATGGTTATTGTTAATAATGTGCCTTTAATAACAAACTCAAAGACAAATGTATGTGCAGGAAAACTTGGTACTCTATAGTTCTTAAGTTTCAAGTGTATTATGGGGGAAAAATAAATATTCTTACATTTGGAAACTTGGAGTTGTGTTTTTATTGTTTTGGTCCATGTTGTCCACATTTAGTTCTGTTTTCCAGGTCCGTTGTTCCTCATTTATCAGATAGTTTCCCCTCATGACTTGTAGAGAAGTGAAAGGAGCGACAGTGGGTGCTTCTCAAGTGTCTTAATTGCATCCACGTTTCCCTCACTTGCGTCTTTTCGTTGCATCTTGATGGTTAGAGGCTGCTTCGTCTTGCATCTTCCTTGTGGCTGGTCACTCCTGTGTTTAGTCTAAATAGACGATAATAAAACATAGTAAACACGTAGCCTAAGGAGTCAGACAAGCCACTAAAGTGTCAAATGACGCAAGCAAAGGAAAATTAAACCGCTCATCCGGCAGATTCTCACCTGCATCTGATGGAAGCAGCCGGCTCCATGAGTAAAATCGGCTGATGAAAGTATGAATGGAAAGCTGCAAGACAACATGATCATATTCTTGGTTATTCAATAATGCATTCACAATCAATAAATCTATATGCAGATACTATCAGCATTCTGCCAGTAGAAATGATCCTCTGAGTAGGACATATAGAAACCTATGGGTTATTTTCTAATTAGGAGTTCATTTCATATCAACAAAAAGTGAAAAATTCATTCACTCATTGTTCAAACTGCATTAGTTGCCAAGCTTAAGCTCTAATTACTTTTTAAATCTTGAAAGCAAAATACACATTGGATTCATTATTTTGTCAACTGTGTTACAGAAAAACATTACGTCATAGAAGACATAAATGAAGTACTACACATTAGATGAAACATTTGTTTGAAAGTTCTTGAGTCTATTATGTCTTTTATGTTTGAATAGCATGACTGCTAGCTTGCAAAGTTTGCTAGTCTACTGGTCAGATTTTGTGTTTCACCCGGTTTCTATCTTGTCACAAATAGAAGATTATTAAGATTTTGCATTAATTTACATATTACCCAGCAATCATCACTGCATATGTAGCTATGTGACACAAATACCAGTAGTACCAGTAGTTTTACACTAATATATATATATATATATATTCCCCTCCAAAATTGGAACAGTAAGGCAAATTCCTTTGTTTTGTATTAATCCCACAAGGGGAAATTCAATGTTTTCACTCTGTTATTATTGTTAGTATTAAACACAGGTCCGAAACACACGGAGAGATGTCAGAGTGAGGGGGCGCCCCGAGCGGTTAAGGATTCAGGGGCTTGTCCAAGGCCTCCTTCGGCAGTGCCCAGGAGGTAACTGGCACCTCTCCAGCTACCAGTCCACGCTCCGCACCTCTGGTCCGAGCTGGATTCGAACCGGTTTAAGATCAAAAGATGAGTATGAGACAAGAGTTCAGAATTTCAGCTTTCATTTCCTGGTATTCCCATCTAGATGTGTTAAACAACTCAGAACATACCACCGTTTGTTTGAACACACCCATTTTCAAGTGAGCAAAGTAATGACCAATAATCTTAAAGTAAATGACATTTAATATTTGGTTTTGCAAATCTGTGGCCATGGTTCTCAGCAGGAAACCGGTGGAGTGCCAACTTCAGGTAGGGAATGAGTTCTTACCCTCACCTATGGTCATGAAGGCTGCGTCATGACCGAAAGAACGAGATCGCGGGTTTCCTCAGGCGGGTGGCTGGTGTCTCCCTTAGAGAAAGGATGAGAAGCTCGGCCATCCACGAGGAGCTCAGAGTAGAGCCTCTGCTCCTTTGTGAGTCAGTTGAGGTGGTTTAGGCATCTGGTAAGGATGCCTTCTGGATGCCTCCCTAGGCATCCAGGAAGACCCAGGACTAGGTGGAGAGATTACATGTCCACACCGGCCTGGGAACGCCTCAGGATCCCCCAGTCAGAGCTGGTTAATGTGGCTCGGAAAAGAGAAGTTTGGGGTCCCCTGCTGGAGCTGCTGCCCCCGCGACTCGACCCCGGATAAGTGGATGAAGGTGGATGGATGGAACCCTTTCTTGCAATAACTGCCTCAAGCCTGCGACCATCAACATCACCAAACTGTTGCATTCTTCATTTGTGATGCTATTCCAGGCTTTTACCGCAGCTTCTTTCAGTTCTTGTTTGTTTCGGGTCTTTCTCCCTTCAGTCTCCTCTTAAGGAGGTGAAATGCAGCTCTGTTGGTTTAAGGTCAGCTGATTGACTTGGCCAGTCTAAAACCTTCCACTTTTTCCCCCCGATGAAGTCCTTTGTTTTGTTGGCAGTGTGCTTTGGCTCATTGTCCAGCAAACTTACTCCCGATTAGTTTCAGTCTCCGTAAATTTGCAGACAAATTGTTTCTGTCCACTTCTGAATTCATTCTGCTGCGACCATCATCAGTTACATCATCAATAAATGTAATGAGCCTGTTCCAGAAGCAGCCATGCACGCCCAAGCCATGACATCACCTCCACCATGTTTCACAGATGAGCTTGTTGCTTCGGATCATAAGCAGTTCCTTCCTTTCTTTCTCCACACTTTGGCCTTTCCATCACTTTGCTACAGATTAATCTTGGTCTCATCAGTCCATAAGATTGTGTTGCAGAACTTTTGCGGCTCGTCTCTGTATTTCTTTGCAAATTTCAATCTGGCCTTCTGATTCTTCCTGCTGACGAGTGGTTTGCATCTTGTGGTGTGGCCAGTGCTTGAAGTAGGCCGGAATGGCACCTCGAAAGTTTTTGGCGTACTGGGACATTTTCTTGCGTACTGGGACTTCTCCTAAGCTGCCGGTACTCTCTTCTGCTTTCTCCATATCAGGTTTCTGGGCGCTACGTGACGCTCACCTGCTCCCGTTCTCTCTGCCTGCTAAACTCTGTCGGCGGAGAGAGACGAGGGAGAAGAGAAGCTCGGGTGCCTTTCAAGCAGCAGTGTGCTGAATGTAGCTCGTCAATGTCACTTGTCGTGAACCGACCAATCACACAATGTCAAATTGAAATACAGAAGAAACAAATTTGCATTGTCCAAAAGCTGATTACTGAATTACATTCCAGTATATTTTGAACTGTCACCTTAATCTAGTTTCCCTTCATATAAATAAAGACATTTCCTCTTGGTGCAGAAAATGTGTTCAGACTACAGGAAATTAAGTTGTTAATGTTATAATATTTACTAGTTTCATGTTGTTGTTGAGGATAGTGCGGGGGGTTTTCCACTACAAGCACAGGGTGTGGCCTTTATACTTCTGCTCTCTGAGTCTTCTTCACAGTCAGTCACATGTCCCAATAGTTTTGCTCACTTGAAAAATGGGTGGGTTCAAACAAACGGTGGTATGTCCTGAGTTGTTTAACACATCTAGATGTGAATACCAGGAAATAAAAGCTGAAATTCTGAACTCTTGTCTCATACTCATCTTTTGATCTTAAACCCAAATGTCTTCGGTGAACAACAAAAACAAAGAAATTTGCCTACTGTTCCAATACTTTTGGAGGGGACTGTAGTTCTTGATCACCCTTGAAAGATATAGTTTGAGGTGAGTTTGGTGTTAACTGTTGATTGATGAAACCCGAGGCATTTATTCCATGTAACTGACAAAGACCAGATCGCAACTCGGCGGGGGTGCTCCCATCGAGGGCCCTCAGTACAGTGCAGCTGTACTGTCTGCACTGTCTGCACTGTCTATACCTCCGCCCCTGGCTCTGCTGTTGTGGTTTAACCCCTTCAGACCATCTAACAGACACAGAACCCTTTTGGGACTTTGGGTATGTAAGAATGAGACAAGA